ATCAACAAACTGCAATTCCTGTTGCATAGATGGATTACTGTTAAGAAACCGCATAAGCGGAACGGTCCGCTACAATGCACAAATTATCAAGAGTACGACTAGAAACAACTGCGGGATTCCATCAGTCTGCGTAGCTTGTGGACGCTTCCAAAACTTTGAACCGTGTCCTGCAAGCAAAGAAGACCCAAAGACGAAAAAATTTGCTAACTGTGGAGGAAACCATACCGCAAACTACAGAGGCTGGTAAGTCTAAAAAGAGCTGAAACTAGGCTTCAACAAGCTAAATCTGCACGCTCCCAAAATGCACAAAATGCGTACGTGCAAGCTTAAACCACACCTGATGTTTTCTTTTCGATAGCAGCCAGATCTTCATTTGGCCCTCTAAATACAAATGGGGGAATCTCATACGCCAGTGCCCTAAAAACAGGACTTGACAAGCCCACGTCGATTCCACAAAGTCGATGCTCTGAGCAGAATGTAATAACCTCTCAGCAATTAATGGGACAAATACCAAACAACATGGAAACTGACTTTACAACAAAGTATGATGACTTTATGTCCCTTATAAAAAAAACAATGCAAAACCTTATGTAAAATCAAAACATTCTAATAAATATGTTCGCATCCCAACAATCCAAATAATCGATGTCTTCAAATATGCATGTGGAAAACCAATGGCGTTTCGCCGCACAAACTTCAAGGGTTCGAGCATTTTTAACATTTAATAAAAAAAAAAGCACTAGATATTTTTATTATTTGTTTTTTTATCATATGTTTATTAAAGAGTACATAAGATACATATTATTCGTCCTTGAAGAAGAGGGGGAAAAAAGAGGCTGTGTCCTCGTCGCCGTGATTTCTACCCTTGTCGTCATCTGAAAAATAAAACAATGATAGTACGAATGTCGCTATGGCATAGCAGCAAAACTTAAAAAAATGTTTTTCTCATAAAATAGCGGCTACTCAAGAAAAGGTCAATTTTTTCTCTAATTTTTCAGTTTTGTCGAATTTTTTAAAAATATTATAAATTTCAATTTTTTTATTGGTTCCAGCGATAGAGATATATTTAAAGAATATTCATGCCAAATTTCAAGTAAATCGACTGATTAGAACATGAGATATTGTGGCTACCGCATCCGAAAAAGTAATTTCTAAAAAAACGCATTTAAAGTTTTACGTTAAGTTTTGGCCAGCGTAACTGATAGAATATTACGTATAACTTACATTCTCCTAATCAGCTATCCCAGCTCCAGCTAGTGTAGTATACTGGAAATAAGGTTATTTTTATAGAAAGAAGGAGAGAAAGTTATTCATACTCAGGTAGCCCGGGCCTCCAGCCACCTATGGTTCCAGTCGTTCGCTCAACCGGTCTAGTTGCCACGTCACTAAAACGGCTATAATTTTTTTTTTTTCGCGCGTAGTCCCACGGCATACTTAAACCCGCCCAACCCACCGGGGGGCGCAGCCGTGTATCGTACGGCACAATTCGCGAGAAGATAGACGCGAGATAAGGAAATATAGGTAAAAGTCCGAGGGAAAAAAGTAATAGAAAGATCAATTTTGTGCCAATGAAGCCAGTATTAATCGGCAGAGAGTCAAGATTTGAGATTATAGGAAAAAGTCTATTATAGTCAGAACATAATACTCTGAAAGGCTCATGCAAGGCATAGTTAGATCTACAATGATTTAAAATTAGGGGAATATAATTTCTAGTTAATCTACCTGGCACAGGAAAGTTTAGCCGACTTACCAAGTCGGGGGAGTCAATATCACCATGTATAAGGTTATAAATGAAGACAGTACCAAGCATCGTTCTAGGGAGGCTAAATTAATCAACAGAAGTCTACTAGAATAAGAAGGTAAGTTAAGATTTGCATCCCAGTTTAGGCGCCGTAAAGCAAAAAGAAGAAAGTTTTTTGTACTGATTAAATTCCAATTACCAATATGTATTCCGTATTGTGGACTCCAGACGGGAGACCCATACTCCAGAATCGGACGGACGAAATAAATAAAGTTTTAGTTAAATAAGGATAATCGAATTCTTTTGACCACCTTTTAATAAATCCAAGCACTCCTCTGGCTTTATTAACCATGGACGAAATGTGGTTTGAAAATTTTAGTTTAGGGTCCAAGAGAACGCCAAGATCGGTTACAAGAGTTATTCTATCCAAAGAGCTGCCACTTAATGTGTAAGTCGCGAATATCGGATTGACCCGATAAAAAGTCATCAGCTTGCACTTGGATGCCTTTAAATTTAGTAAATTATCTCGGCGCCAGTTTTTAAAATTATCTAGATCGGATTGCAAGTCTATATGGCAGAAAATGTTCTTATACTGCAGGCACAACTTAACATTATCTGCGTACATAAGTACGCGAGAATGACTTATAATTGAGGGAAGATCGTTAATAAATAATGTAAAAAGTAACGGACCCAGATGGCTTCCTTGTGGGACACCGGATGTAACACGGAGAATTTCAGAAATTGAATTTTTAAAAAGGACCCTTTGTAACCTGCCATTCAGATAACTTGAAATCCATTTAAGTAGATCAACTGGAAAACCTAACAGGTCAAGTTTTTAAACAAGAAGTAAGAGATTTACAGAGTCAAATGCTTTATTAAAGTCAGTGTAAATGACGTCTGTTTGAGAACTACTATTGAAGCCTTTCATCACAAATGTAGTGAGCTTTGAAAATTATTTGGGTTTTGAAAAATCCATCAAGCAATGGGACAAATACCAAACAACATCGAAACCATCATGCTGAATTTACAACATAGTATGATGGACTTTATGTCCTTCATGAAAACAACAATGCAAAACATTCTAATAAATATGCATCCCAACAATCGAAATTATTAATATCTAAACTTTAAATAACTCAATTCCTCAATGAAAACCACATAGATGTAGTGCTGCTGGCAGAAACGCTTCTTACAAGTAAATACAACTTCCAAAAAAGATGTTACACTTCGTATTGCACAGATCATCCGGAAGACGATCCACGGCGGACCATCCCCGGGATTAAACACCACTTTCACCAGAGATTTGCAACAAATTATTGGCAAGCTACATCCATAAAATTACAATCAGGCAACGGCATTATTTCTACAGCCGCTGTCAATTCTTGAACTTCTACAATTCACTCGGAGATCGCTTTATAGCGGAATCGCTTTATAAAGCAATTATAAATTTGAGCAACAAATTCGACTATGTCTCCCCTGGCAGCCCTACATACTGACCCCAGAAAACTTCCGGACTAAAGTGACTTCGCAGTAAAAAAGAACATCCCAATAATTTAGTAAACGCCAAATTGGTATCGGACTTACCATCAGACCACTCGCCTGTTTTAATAACTCTTCTTCAAAGCCTTATATAACTAACTGGCTAAAGTACAAGAACTACGTAAGTTCCCACATTGATCTAACCCCACAGCTCATCACTGATGATGACATCGACTGCTGTTCTGATAACCTAGACTCCGTACTCGTGGCTGCAGCTAAAATCTCAACAAGAGACAATTGTGCGTACCAACCAAAAAAAAAAGTGAAGGAGACATTTCCGACTCTATAAAGTATATATATTCTTGATCAGCATCACCAGGAGAGTCGATCTAGCCATGTCCGTCTGTCCGTCCGTTTCTACGCAAACTAGTCTTTCAGTTTTAAGGCTATCTGCTTTCCTTTCCTATCAGTTTCCTTTCCCAAAAGTTGTCTTTCTATTGCAGGCAGTATATAAGTCGGAACGAGCCGGATTGGGCGAATATATCATATAGCTGCCATATAACTGTACGATCGGAAATGCCTTAACTTTGGCGTTTTTAAGTTAAAAAGTTGGGATTTTCTATGGGTTTTATTTTGGCCAATCAATCCGACCTACAAAATTTCATAAGGATCGGATAATATAACTGATTGATCGAAAATGCCATAACATTGGTGTTTTTTAAGTTAGGAAGGATGATTTTGGGTTTTATTTTGGGCCAACCAATATAATTCACAGAATATTCTGCAAGAGTATATCAACTTCGGCTCCGCCCGAAGTTAGCTTTCCTTTCTTGTTAAAGAATTATAACCAAAGAAGTCTCCTAGAGGTGACCCAATAACCCTCAAAATAATGATGAAACTTCCAAACTGTGCAGTGAATGTTATATGCATGCTATTTAACGGGATCACAAAACTTGGGTACTACCCAAAAAAGTGAAAAAAGTCTGTTGTCATAATGATACCGAAGCCTAAGAAAGACCACACAATTCCCCATCGTACAGGCCAAAAAGTTTATTAAACTTATCAAGACTTTTACCACAGAATCTTAGCGGTGAGATGCAATGCAACAGCATCCAACGAGTATAATATTGAAGCTGGAGTTTCACAAGGTATCAAACTGGGCCCACCTTTATTTCCTACACATTCCTACAAACGAGAGACTGACTACGTCCACATTTGCTGACGACAGCGCAATCCTGAGATGCACAACTAGAGCAACAGCTTAACTAGCAGATCACTAGGTGGCAGTTGAGAAGTGGCTATCAAAATTATTGAACAAAAGAGTAAACATATAGCGTTTACTCTTAACAGATGTAACCTATCTTGGCGCCCACTTCGATGGTCGCCCTATAAGGCGGAGGCACATTAAATGCAATAAAATACATCTAAAACTTAAAGCTAGCAGCCTACACTGGATTATAAATTCTCGTTCTCCCCAGTGTCTAATAATCTCCTACGGAACCGAACACGGGTTTCGAACAGAACTCCTACATCGAAAGGATCTGCTAGCCCAGCAATAGTTACTAGGGGCCTTTTAGTCTTCATGACTGTGAAGTTTCATTTTTAAGATTTGATCTGCTTATTGTTAGTATCATTAAAAAGAATATCCAATAAATAAAGCACATATGTACATATGTATGTACACAAAAAGAAATTATAAAAACAACTCAGTTTTGGCAAAGGGAATATCTTTTTTATTGACATTAACTTTTAATATTAAAAAACAAAGACAAGTTGATCGTAAGATTTCCATATAGCTTTACATTTGTATTTAGTCAATGTGAAATATTTTTGATAATGATAGACTTACATAAAATAAACAGTCGTTCATGAATACACAAGTATAATTTCAATTTAATTTGCTGTTTCACAGGCGTCTACCCAGTCATTGTAAACATCAATAGGTTCTGAAAGAAAGTTAATTCCAGTCTGAAAGTCTTCCAAACAAACTCTACAAGTTATTTTGGCGGTGTTCCTGCCTTTATCCCTGAAATATTTAATAAAATTGTATAAAGTTTGATATAGACACATTTACTTTCGCAGGTTTGGCGCTGTTCATTCATTTACACATACATATCGAAACCGATTTAAATATATGTATTTTATAATTCATTCAGATTACCGTTGTCTAGATGAACCAGTTATTTAAAATTTAAATCGAATTCGGTTAAAAATAGTGAGTTTCTGAACAGGCTAGTGTCTTTACATTTTAACTTCACACGACTTTTCATGGTTGCAGAATGGACAATTAAATTGTTGATCAAGTGGTTCAATGTTTTTTCTTTTCGGCGGAGGTTTCCTTTTAGACTTTCTTCTTCCCATCTTTTTTTGAGGAAAGGTATCTTTTATAGATAAATTTCTCGTGAAATAAATAAAAACCAAATGTTCTAAAATTTAATTGGTTTCTGTCAAGATAACTATTATGTTTTTATGTCAAAACCATAATTTTCGAAATAACATAATTCCACTGAAACACACCACAAGCCATTTAAGAAACGATCGGAAAAGTTATTTTATTTTCAATATGGCCTAGGTAAACAGCCATGGGAGCAAATGGTTACTAGTAATTGGTATTCTTCCCATCTTTGTTGGGGTATAAATAAAAACATAAATGCTCTTTAAGGGTTGGCTCAAAAACAAGCCTATTTTCGTGATTTTTTTTATTATTTCAAAAGACATAATAAGCTTTCAAGTGATAATAATGATAATGATAAGTAATAAAATACCAAATTAAAGAAATATCAACAATAATCAAAAAATAACCCCCCATCCGGTGAACGTCATAACTGGTACCAAGATCTTCTGAAAATTACTATTTACATTTCTCTGTTGGTTTATCTTAGAATCTCGTGCGTGAACAAAAGAATTGGAAAACAAACAAATTTTTAATTTTTGGCGAAGATTTTACGAATAAAACAAAATTAAAAAACGAAACAACAATAAAAATTAAAATCCTTCGTTTAAGCACGAGATTTTAAGATTCTGAAGATTTGACAAAAAAATGTGAAAACAATCGTTTAGATCCGATTATGCAACTTCTTAAAGGTGGGGTCGAGTTTCAAGATTGTAGTCTCGTAGAAAAAACAATTGTTGTATTTTAGAGAAAAGTTGTTTTTAACAAAGTTTGCCTGGAACTCAGGTTTGCCATCTTAAATTTATTCTATTTTGACTATCATGGGTAATAATGGTCCTTTCAGTATACAAGAACCAATAAGGATGGGTTCACACTGAGGCGAGTTATAGTGCTATCGAGTGAAGGGAGAAATTAAGGATGTGCGTCAAATTAGAGTAGGTGATTTAACGGGGATGGCAGCTAAGGGCGGTCTTTACTTTTTGATTTCCTCCCTAATTATGCACGTTATCGAAAACTTTTAAATGCAAAAATAAGCGTAGTTTGGAGGGATATGAAAGTGCCGCCCACTCCATTATTTCAAAAATTCGGACGCCCTTCCTTAAATTGCAAAGCAATCGTACTAGCGTTGATAAAAGTTTATGTGCGTCAACGGTTTATGTGCGGAACGGTGGAATATGGAATACGAGGGCTGCATTTATTTTTCTCTTTTTAAGCCTAGTAATCAGATCGACGAAAACTATCCGCCAGTCATGAGAGAGAGCGAAAAACAAACAGCTGGCGTACACTTTTCGTCAGGCTTTTTTCCACCTCGGTACTGAGATCAACAAAAAAATAACAGAAAATGGGGTTAATGTTCGTTAGGCCTTAAGCCTAGTACTCAGATCGACAAAAACTGCCCGCCAGTCATGAGAGAGAGCGAGAGGCAAACAGCTGGCGTTCACTTTTCGTCATCGTTTTTTTCACCTCGGTCCTCAGATCGACGAAAAAAATACCAGAAAATTGCATAGCGTTGCCAATCTGCGGAAATGAACTTTGGGTGAACCCTAGCGAAAAGATTAAAAAATTTAATCTTTTGGCGTGCGCTTCCCACTGAACATTATAAGAAATTTAGGGAAAACTCAAAAACTCGCAAAAGTCGATTGCAGGAGTTAACATGTGAGGACAAAATAACATTAATACTCTCTGGGGTGCCTCTTGTCAGAGCAAAATGTTTTTTAGGTCAAGAATGTACGAAAAAATACAACAAAAGTGCAGCTATGAACTTTAATTTGGCAAATAATTATCCGTAAAATAAAAAAACAACTGTTAAATTTAAATTGTAATGTTTTTTAATTTCTTTGTACAGCGGCAGCCTTGTCTTGCCAAGGTATTTGATAGTATCTTCTAAAGCCTCTTTCCCGCAAATACGATATTTGAATTTTAACTGCTTGTCAACAAACCCAGCTGACTGACAGAACGACCGTAGCACGCTTAAATCTGATGAACTCTCAAAATTTTGGTCACACTGGAAAAATTAAAGTTTTTACGCTAGCATACTCGTTTGTCGATCTGAGTACTAGGCTTTAGCGAAAAAATTAAAAAATTAATCTTTTGGGGAGTCGGTTGTCAGAGCAAAGTGTTTCGAAGATCTAAAATGGAAGCTAAACCCCAACAAAAAACGCAGAAAAATCGCCTGCAAAAACTTATGGCAGCTATAATTTCTAAATCAGTTATTAAAAAACAAAGAACTATTAAATTTAAATTATATTGTTTTATAATTTCTTTGTTTGTCTTGCCAAAGTATTTGAAAATTGGCTTTGAAGGCTCTTCCCGCAAAAAAGATTTTTGAATTTGAACAAGCCCATATGGATTTCCATATATAAACACATTTAAAAACATAAAAACTTTCCGCTTGTTCAAAAATCAGAGTAGTCTTAAGTGCCCCCAACCTGTTTACATGGACTCTAACTATTTCAATCCTACAGTTTCTATGTTTGATGGCTTGGAATCTTTCTGTTTGTGCGAATATTTCGTGTCAAATTAATTGCGCTAGTCGATCGGAATAGACAGATTCGTCTGGTTATGCTAATCAACAATTTATATATTTCATAATGATTTAAAACGTCCTTACTCAGCGTTACAAATATACATATGTCGAAATTGTAATACAATCTTGTTTTACCCTTGCAAAAGGTTTTTAACTTCAAAAGTTTGCCATTAAGTCCAGCAGATATTTCTGACCATATAATGTATC